CCCCAATCATATTACCGTTACTACCGATTACTAGTTAGAATGATTGAGGCCACTTATCCACAGGCGAATGGAGATCCACCTCATCTCTTGAGAGTTCCACCAGTCAAGCGTCTGCGCCTGTGCACAGTCCGCTTGCACCAGGCGCTAAGGTTCGGCCTAGTCGTTAGTATAGTGTACTCCGGAGACCGACGACCAAGGAGAATGAGTCTGCCGTTTCTCTCTCTCCATCGGGTCACAGGGTAGTATGACTCGGGATGCAGCCACCTTTCGAATGCAGCAAAACCAGCCCCCGGAGAAAATCTTGGACGTTGGTCCTGGAGGTTTAAATTTGAATTCCTATCTTAATCGGGGTTGGATATGGAAGATTCCGAATGTTTGAGCCTTTGAGGCCACCCAAGCATCATGTGAACTCCCTCCGTAAGGAGAAATGGGGAGGGGAGGGATCGACAGCATAGGTAGGATGCATGTCATTTTCCTTAGTGCCCCATGGCCTGTTATGAACTTTGAACCTACTCCGTAAAGGTGCCGTCAAATACTCCATACTTGTCAATTAATGATGTTATTTCTCTACTACTCCGTAACCTTTCCTACGAGGCTGCGAACGAACATCCCACCCTGGCAGGTTGAGATACTTTGGACATTAGGTTCAATAGCAAACCTAATATTAATCGGCAGGTGCTTCAATGCTCAACTCTCACGGAATAGGTGTACTCTGTGTGGTCCACCGAGCACCAGCCTCCAGCTTTGGGGAGGTGGACAGTGCATTCAATATTGTGGATATCCTTTCAGCGTCCCACCCAGGATTCAATACTCCGTTTTCACCTGCCAACGGCTTCGTGTGGATATTGTACTCTGTAATTTAGGCTTACACGTAGCGCACCTGGTTAGTTTTCTGTAACGGTCTATGAGCACAATTTCTGAATCCTCGAATTAGTAAGTATATTATAGTATTCGATACGAGGAAAGGAAGAAGGGTCCCTTCAACCCTTGTTGACCGGGAGGTATTTCCTCCGTCCGGAGTACCTCGAAACGGAATCTCGGCCATTCCCGGGTATGAGTGGAGAGCTTGGCGGAGTTTAGTCCGTGCAGCCGAAAGATACGCGTCTGTTTCACTCTCGCCTGTGATAATAGGTATGTGTATGAGACCCTAAGAGTTTAGGACACACTGTACTCGAGTAGACGGTGGCTTTTGTGCCCCTGGCTGGTCCGTGCCTACAAAGCACCATATGCACCTTGATGTCTTAGCCAGGTAGATACTCGTCGGCATCCAGGGGGTCCCGTTTCCTGCGAGCACGTCCAAATACACAGACTCCAAATTTGTTGTAGTTACCTCGATACGGTAAACGGGATGCTGTCCATTAGGGCAGATACCCACAGCAGTAGCTCAATATCACCTAACCTCAAAGAGTAATGATAAGAGTAAGTGCTACTCTGTAATTACTCGCACCGTGCTCTCCTTCGTACGCTGTAGGTAACATTAACGACTTTTGACATACTCCTTACAGCAGAGTTAACTAGCTCGAACATTGTCATAGACCGACCCAAACTGGTTCATCACTAAATCATATTTATTGAACAGGATATAGCATTGGTTGGCTACGCCTGCCGACCGTGGTATAATTTATTACGCCTATACCCAATACGTATCTGGTACATACACCGGAGTAGGCTACTGAGCATGGACACTCGGGGATTCTAAGGTGGTTTACGGCGTATGCATGTTCATGTAGCTGTTTTCATTTGCGGTTAGAGCCTTTTTTTAGAGTTGGTACAAAAGTACAATGAACGATACCAGCCTATAACCTCTGCTTACGGAGTATTATGTGGTAGTGAATAAATACATACAGAGTAAACCCCGGCAGCTTCTGGGTCTGAGTCTGAAGCATATTGCCGTTTGGGGTAAGTTGCAGGGGAATTGTTCCTCATCTGCAGCCACCAAGCCGGGCAGACCACCTACGGAGTACGGCGTACTGCCATACATATGTACTCCATACTCTGTACACCCGTGCTCCCTTTTTATTTTAGCTATTGATCAATTACTTTAGTTATACGGAGGAACTTGGTTTTACCTTTCCTTATCATGGGCACGAATACCCCTGATAAAGCATGATATGCGAGCCAGCCACCCTATTTCTAATTGTTTAGTTATTGCAAATGAAGTGTTACCAACCTCCACAGCAATCCTACTCCTACAGTCCTACCTAAGGTAGGACCAGAGAGGACCTACATAGCGATGGGCGGAGAAATACCTTTCCTCGGAGATTACGATGGCTCCACGGGTGATTGGCCAGGAGTTGCTCGGATATCCGGCGCCACTCTCCCTTGTCTAAATGAGGAAGTACCTACAGTGCCTACCGGGCTGACAATGCATGCAGTTCAGCTAGTGTGGAATTAGTATTTTGATTCTTTAATCTCTTGGTTGCATCATCTAAGCCCTCGAAGGCCTAGCTCTCTCCTTATATTATTACAGATGGCTAAATCCATCCTGGCCTATCGTGTACAAGCTCCCACCTCCGTTTCTATTTTGAGTGATCTTTTGTCAGCTATACATGTCTAAGTAACTAGTTAACTGGTCATCAACTACGTACATAGGTGACTACGGAGTACTACTGAGGAGCCTGCAATTTGAGTACCGTACTGGGCGCATCGAACGCGGCACCATTTCACAGAGTAGGATCTTTCATATCCATAACTATCGCTTGTCATATTCTCAGATTCGTCCAAATCAGATAAAAGCGAACGGGTTCAGCTGTATCGGTTCTAGCGCCCGTAGTAGGTAGAACTAATACTTATAGCCATGACATCAACTCTGGTGGCCTATGGAATGGCATTGCTCTCCCACCTAAGCTTTGTGACCTATCCACGGTTAATAATGATCCAACTTATGTAGGCAACACGAGGCCGCAATGGGCTGATGGTGGCTTAAATTCTGTACTGGCAGAAGGTTAGGCGATCGCCGCTAGCATCAACGTCCTGCTCCCATTTCATCTGAAGTCTAGCCGCCTTGGGGACTTCTGAGACAATGTTCATAGATTCAATACCTGGTTATTATGTAATGCTTAGCGGTCGGCCCTGGGGATTGTTAAGCAATTTCCTGCGAGGATCTCGAAGTCTAGCCTTGGTAGGAATCATATGTTCATTGAATGTTGTTCGTAGCCTGCCGGTTAGTGCTCCGTATAGATCCCGACGTGTCCTATACAAACCTCTGAATTATCTCATTATCATTCACCCTGGGATGTTCCTCTGTTCTATTCTGGTTTAGCTCTGAATAGTAGTGTCTTGTCAGTACATAACATCATATATGATTGCAACCCGGGATCCTATTATGTCAGAAGCTAGATAGTCAACTCACTAGGAGTAAACTGAATCATTAAAACTCGCACATCTAGATTTATTACTACCGAGGTCTTTCTTATTGAGATTTTGGTTTATCAGTACCGCTTGACTAGAATCTTACCCAGAATTTAAATCCTTGATCACGGGGTAAGTTAGGCTCGTATACTGATGGGGAAACGAATTACTTCGCACGATGTCCAGATATACTGAATTCCAACATGATGCCTATTCCTTTTGCTCCGTACCTCAATTGCAAGGACAACGTAAATGGAACGAAACGGCCCCAATTGAAACGGCTAGTATGGCCCGCACTTGCTTTCTAAATTTGCTTTTCCGTTCTCTTTTCCCCCCAAAGTTAGAGGGCACAGTAAAATAAACGGAACTTACATTTGTGGTGGAATACGGCTATCATTTTCTTGTTAAAGACGATTACGCCGGTCCCCAACACGCGTCCGAGCAATTCGGAGACATCCACCGTGCCTACTAACCAGGATCACCTTAGCTCTTTCCTTAGCGTTGACATCGTGCTTGAGGAAATAAACCCACACACCATCAAGTGTCTCCACCACCAGGCCCATGTCAATGCACCGTAGCTGCATGGGCCGCCGCCAATCCCTTCTCCACTTTTAGTGCTCTCCCTCAATCCATCTAGATCCAGGGTCTCTGACGCACGAGGCAAAAATACACCTGCATGACACTCGAAATGACAAAGGAACTAGACATTAAAAAAAAGGAGAGAGAAAAAAAAATCTTTTTTAGGGATTGATTTCATGGATTTTGTCTGGATTGCGGTCTTTGGGCATGTGCATTCCCTGCCATCGACCCATCTGAACAGAATAAAAGTCTGTAATGTTGCATGTCAGTTGAGATTCACTTGTTTTTAAAAAACTCATTAACCGGAAAGATCCCTCCCTCCGGACCTTTTTGTTTTGGTTAGTAGTTCTAAGGAGCTCTCGTCATCCAGACGCTCGTTTACTACTTTTTTATCTCACTCCCCTCTTTCCAATTCTTCCTTCTTGCCCCCCCTCTTCTTCTGTTTTTGTTTTTTTTTTCTTTCCTTCATCAAGTGCCCTTCGTTTTGCCTTTCCCTACATTCTATTCCCTTTCCCCTTCTCGCTCGCCTCTGGTGGCAATTGATCCTCCAAGGCAGTGCTATAAGTAGGACTTACGGCATTGACCTACATATCTGTACGACTTGAACCCAATCTAAAGAAACGGGGGGACCATACCAACAAGGAAAAGGGTTCGAATAACGTCAGACCAACATGGAGTTCCCGTTTATGCGAGCTTTCATCGCTCTTTTGTAGGTTTTCACCATTTTCTCTTCTCATTGAGCTTTCCACCGTTAGGTGGCGATTCTCCTGGCACCTGCACGATTTACAAGTCACCCACACCCTCTCCTTGCGGTAGAAAGGGCTAACCTTATTACCATCAGCTTTTACCGTTATTTTCGTCTCGTCGTGAATTTGTTTTCATTTTGGACTTTCAGGCCCATCCCTCCCCCAGAAAACCCAAAATTAACCGCACAAGATGTTACGGTTATTATTCCTACTCTTGAGGGATGTGGCGATGAATTGGTTGAGACAATCAGAACTATTCTTGATAATCATCCATATGAACTCTTGTTGGTGACAATCGAGGCCAACCGAAAGAAAGCCGAGAACATGTTAAACTTGATGCCTGCTTCGAAATCAAGGATCCGCCTCTTCACCGTGACCCATCCCAATAAACGCCGTCAAATGACAAGAGCCATTCCGGAAGTTCGCACCCCGATTACAATCTTTGCAGATGATGATGTGAGCTGGCCGCGCACCGTACTTCCCTGGATTTTAGCTCCCTTTGAGAAAGATGAGCGTTACGGAGGCGTGGTCACATGCCAGCGACTTCGTCGTGCTGTTGCGCCGACCATGTCTCAGCGTATTTGGGGATTCCTTGGCGCTCTCTACCTGGAAAGAAGGAACTTCGACTGCGCAGCCACGACGCATATCGATGGCGGGCTCCCTTGCATGTCAGGGCGGAGTGTTGCATACAGAACAGACATCCTTCAGAATGAAGGCTTTACTTATGGTTTCACCAACGAAGAATGGTGGTTTGGGAAATACCAATTGAATGCCGACGATGACAACTTCATCACTCGCTGGATGGTATCGCACGGGTGGGAGACCTTCATGCAGTACCACCCCGAAGCCGAAGTTCTTACGACGTTGGAAGATAACCCTATCTTCCTGAAGCAATGCGCCCGGTGGTCACGAAGCAACTGGAGGAGCAACCTTACGAGCATGTTCCATGAGAAGCACATTTGGTAGTAAGTACTCAGTGTCCTTGATCTTCGTTTTCATTTTGATTTTCACCTCGCATTTCTGGTGGGGGGAAGGGGACTCTCGCGCACTCCCTGGCAATACGCCTGGCTTTGAATGCCTTGGCAATGGCAATGTGTGGAGCATTGTCCCGCCGCTAGCAAGACAGCGCATGATGAGGGATTCATTGGAGAATAATGCGTCCAGCTGGAGCAACCCATCATTGCAGGAAATACCTCGTTTAGACCATGCACTAACATTTTGGTTCTGCGTTGCTAGTCGCCAGCCTTGGAGCGCATACGCCGTCCATCTGACAACCCTGTCGCCTCCGGCTCTTTTGGGTGACTTGCTGCTTGTTTTATTATGCCATAAAGCCACGGCGTCTTGGGATGAAAGCTCGCACCTCATGGCCATGCAAGCCCTCGGCGTATGGATGTTTATCAGCAAGTTTATCAAACTTTTGGGCCATTACATCCGATACCCGGTTGATGTCTTGTTACTGCCTGTGTCCATACTTTTTGGGTATTTCCACGGAGCAATCAAGATGTACGCAGTGCTAACACTCAATGTGGTAAGTTGCATGATTTCGATTTTTGTTAAATTCTTGGGTCTACACATCCGCTTGTGCGATACAGGTCTTGAAACCCACTTCGTGGAGCCCTGCGCTTTTAGCCCAGATGCTACCTCAAGATGAGTTCTAGACTTTTGCCCTACTGAAACCCTCATCCCTCATGGAGTATTAACCCCTCATGTATTGTTGGGTCATGGCCCCATGAGTCCCATGTCGCCAAAATGTACCTTTGGTGCTCCGGTCATGGGCAATTCGGCTCCGATCAGCCGTACTGTTAATACTCCTGTTTATTTTTTTTCTTGTTCCCCTCCCCCCGCGCTCTCTTCGCGTCTTTCCCCCCTTTCGGTTACCCTCTGATTTTCTAATACCCTCACCCCGTATACATCTTATTGGCTTATCCCATTCGCGATATCATCCCTTTCGGCCCCGCCCACATTCTTTCTATGTCACTCAGTCCATTCATTCTTCCTTATGGAGGGAAAGAAAACCTTCGTCACATGAAGTTTGCTAATTTAATTTCTTCCCCGTGACAGACAACATGGGGTAGCAGAGATGGTGCCGATGACTATGATGCCGAGCGCATGAAGAAACGAACAGACAACGACCGAGTGAAGCAACCGTATTACCCGAGGTTCATCACTCAGTAAACATGGCCTATCCAACGAATGCGATAATAGCAAGCCGTTTTTTCAGCAGCTCAACGAGCTTGCAAAATACATTTGACAACCCGATTGGCAAAAATGGCGATTTGCTATCTATTGTTTTCTTTTACGATGCGACGCATTTATGACACAATGCGTGAGGATGACGCGAGATCTAACCGTCCCCAAACGCAGAACAAAATCGTGATCAAGAAAGCATTTTTTTTGCGCTTCCTTTCACCGAAAAAACATCGTTTCGATGAACAAAATATGCAAAAATCTCTTTTTATCTCATTTTTCCCTTTATCATTTTGTTGATTCCCCATTTGACTTCTGTCCCACTGCAATGTGACAGATACCAGGGTTAACAGAACCAAGTCCGTCCTCTGCGCTGTTGGCTTATCCGATCCGTTTTTCTCTTCTTCCCGCATCACCTCCCAAACTAATGTTGCCCTGGAAGGTTTTGGCATCCAAGGGTCTTGTATATTACAAAAGCGTGGACGGGTTCCATGGTCGCTTGTCCAATTTTCTTATCATCTTTTGTCGTGTTAGACTGGAAGCTTCTGCTTTTTTTTTCTATCCTTCTTCTTCTTCTTCCTCTGGGGCTTTTCTCCCTTATTGTGGCATTATATCCCTTCTATTTCAGCGCTACTAATAATGTTCTTCTAACCTCTAATGAATTCACTTGTGACTCGTTGGAAAACTTCTGTAGTTTGGATAGATTAGAACCCACTTTACCCGGGAAGTGCAAATCCAGTATAGGGGTGGAAAAGCCCAGTAGGCCTGATGATAGCGACCTTCGAATTTGATTGTGCCTTGCAGTTTCCGAAGCTTGAAAACTGCTTAAATCGTGATTACATAGGGGGTATAGGGTGTTTGGAACCTCGGTGTATTTGACCGCCCACGGGCGGTGAAAATAGTGTCACTTCCGAACTCTCCATGATGCCCTTTTTGCTATTTGCATCAAACGTCGCTTGTACATTGCTTTTGAACTGCGGCTTGAGTGGCTTCTGTCGAATAAATCACCTCACTTGCGAATCACTTAATACGTCTGTTTCTACCAAATAATTGCCTGAGGTCAGAGAAACAATGCCGGTTCTCCATTTTGCCCGAATATCCTCCAGGCGAGCAATTTTATCCAACACCACAAGAGTCGCTGCTCTACAACCCCGGGGTTTTCATTCTTGTTCATCGAAGGCCGCTATAGCCCATCCCATCACTGCTCATGGCCCACCACCAAAGGCCCCTTCCGCCGCACCGGAGTATGGTGGCCGTGTAGAACAGCAGAAAAACCAAGCGGACGAGCTCAAGTCGCAATTGAAATCGCAACGGGAGCCGCTCAAGAAGCGTTTCTGGAAGGATGTGAATGTCGAGAAAAAGCCGGGTATGTGAGCTTCACAATGCGCGTGATGATTGGGGCTATCTGTAAACTGACTCCGTTCTTTGCGGCTACAGAAGGAGGATATCGAGTCCTGTTAGATGCTCGGCCCGTTCGCACGCCCACCAAGGATATTCTCTCCATCCCCCCCACGAAACCCCACCTAGCCCATGCGATTGCCTTGGAATGGGATGTTATGACGACCGCCCAGCAAGCTTTGAAAAACCACCTGATTCCACTTACCTCACTCACTGCCCGAGCGACGGACATTGCTCAGGAGGACGATCGGGGCGAGACAGGCACCAGAGACCAAATCATAACGACCTCAATGCGCTACCTGGATACGGATACCTTGCTCTGTTGGGTACCTGAACAACCCCAAGAACTTGATGAGAATGGCGTGAAATCGGAAAGCCTTCGGGAGGCTCAGATGAGGATTGCCAAAGACACCATTGCTTTCTTGAGCACGAAAGTATGGCCGGGGATTGACATAAAACCTATCCTAGACAGCAACAGCATTTTGCCTGTCTCCCAGTCTCAGGCTACAAAGGACATCATTCGGCTCTGGATCTCGAACCTGCATGCGCATGACTTGGCCGCATTGGAAAGAGGAATCCTCGCATCAAAGAGTCTGCTGGTTGCCGTTAGATTGGTCGCCGAGTGGAGTGAAAACTTCCGGCCAATTCAACGGTCAGAGGCCAAGAAATTCGGTATTGAAGAGGCAGCAGAGGCTTCTAGCCTCGAAGTCAAGTGGCAGACAGACATGTGGGGCGAGGTTGAAGACACTCATGATGTCGACAAGGAAGATTTGAGACGCCAGCTTGGAAGCGTTATTGTTTTGGTGAGCGGCGATACAAAATAATAGCTCAAACATGCTCGGATGCCGGGGTAGCCCAACACCAACCTGGGGTTTCCCATCGCAGCGTGTTTGTATATAACGTTCAATGAGTGTGATTGATAGATGTACAGTATAGTATGTATGTATTATAGTTTTTAGATCTTGATGTATTTGGCACAATGTCATAATGTTGCCGGAATTTCTTTCCTTCCTCTCCCTCGAAGCAGAGCAATAAATACGGTTACCTACGGACATCCAAATGAAGCAGGGAAACAAGGCGATCACTGCAGTCACGAGGGGCTGTTGCCAAGGCACGGGAGCCGCTGTCCAGGCACGGTGGAAACCCCAGTGTCCCCCCCTCTTGATCCTCTTGAATGACAGTCGGAGTTTTATTTATCAGCCATCCCTTCCATGTGGTGTCAATAGATCGATTCTAGTTGCAGCCCCCGTTTCCTCCTACGAAAGTCATATCCTCATATGCGATCTTTTTCTAAACCACCGGACGAACTTGGCGGCGGTTTCGTGGTTTTCTAGTGATGACGGAAAAGGGCGAAGGGTAAGTTCCCTCTGGCGTTCTTGGGATAGTCGGCTTTGGTTCCATGGGTCCTGGCATGGGAGGCTGTGTCCTGGGATGATCATCCCGCCGGACAGTCACAACTTGGTAGTGGAACATTGGGAAATGTACACATTTCTACACGGCTTGTCTAGATACCTGTATCAAGGTGGACACACGAATGTTTCGCTAATGTATAATGCAAAAACTCCGCAGACATAAGCGTTCTCGAAGTGCGCTGGCACTTTCACTCTTGCACCGTGACAGGTCAAAGGACAGTCACGAGGAGACCTTGGGTCGTGACAGCAGTAGTTCATCTCGATCGTCGATTCCCTCATCAACCACGAACAACAATCCGTCTACCTCCCTTCCGATCCCACGAAGCTCGAGTCGTCGAAAGTCCCACCAGGAAGTGCGCCCGCCATCGATGGCAGAAGAACCCCCCTTGGAGCCAACGGGCTCCAACCAAAGCGGCGAGAATATTGAGAAACTACCGTCGGGAACACAGGTTGACAGCAGGAGCATGTCGCTAGACCAGTCTGTGCGCACCTTTCGACTCTTCGAGACGTTGCGTAGCGGGGACACGACTGCGATCGCGAAGGCCATCCGGGAGACTAAGGACGCCCAGGGCGCAGGTGCCCTATCTGGCACGACCGTACTTCACCTGGCGATTCAATGTGCTGAGCCACAGGTTGTGGAATACATCCTCTCCGTTGACGAGGATCTCAACATCAATGAACGTGATCGGGATGGCAACACCCCTCTTCACCTGGCTGCCCAGCTTGGTCGGGGACCGTTGGTGCGCGAGTTGCTCAACCGCCCGTCTCTCAACGACTCTATCGTGAACTATCGCGGTCAAACTGCGCTCGACGTTGCCCGTACCCCGGAGATCTTCCAACAACTTCAGCTAGCGCGGTCCCTCTTCATGGATCAAAAGACCCAGGAAATGCAGCAGCTCATATCCCAGGGTGACTACGAGAAGCTGGAGAAGGTGCTGGAGGAGCCCCGCGTGGAGGGTATAATGGATGTGAACAGTCTGGATTTGGTGACTGACCCCGCCACCGCTCAGTCTGGGGGTACTTTGCTGCATGAGGGGGCGAGAAAGAAAGATACTAAGCTCATCCAAATACTACTCATGCACGGCGCCGATCCTTTCCGGCGTGATAAGAAAGGAAAACTTCCCCAGGACGTGACGAAAGACGACCGGACACGTGCCATCCTCAAGAAGTCGCCCGCTGCAGTTATTGCCCAGCGCGGTATTCAGGAGAAGGCCATCCTGGGGACGAATTCTGGCCAGGGACTCTCTGGCGGGCGCGCTAGTACAAGTGAAGCTCCCTTTGCGGGCAAAGAAGCTCGTGAAATGAGAGGTTACTTGAAGAAGTGGACCAATTATACGAGTGGGTATAAACTGCGCTGGTTTGTCCTCGAAGACGGCGTTTTGAGTTACTATAAGCATCAAGGTAAAGCCTCTATTCCCAATACCCCCGATACTGGAAAGTCTCTAAACTCTTGCAGACGATGCGGGATCTGCTTGTCGCGGCGCGATAAACATGAAAATTGCCAGGCTCAATATGGATTCCCAGGATAAGACACGTTTCGAAATTCATGGGAAGTCCTCTGTCAAGTACCATCTGAAAGCAAATCACGTCGTCGAGGCCAAGCGTTGGTTTTGGACTTTGAACAATGCCATCCAGTGGGCAAAGGATGAAGCCAAAGAAGAGCAAAGACGTCAGACCAGAGACGCAGAGATGCTACGCCAAGCGAAAATGGAGCAGATCGAAGGTCGACCGGGCGAGAGTCCCTCTGAATCCTCCACCTTAGCAGCGGCAAGGTCAAATGGCAAAGGCCTCGCCCCTCCATCTCTTGGTGTTCCAAGTAGCAGCGGCACGAGGCTGAGTACGTACGCTTCTCGCACAACCTTGGAGAGTACGCCGGCAGACGACGATGGCTCGGTATTTGAGTCCTACGACCAAGGTGGTGGCGCACACAGCGAAATCAATCGAGTTTTCAGCCACGTGACTACTGCACCTGATATGGAGGGTGATGATGACGACTATGGCGAATATGCATCCAGTCGCGAGATGCAGCCAGCTGATAAAGATGCTTTGAACATCACAGCCCAATCTGCAAAGGTCCAGCTGGATATTCTTGCCAGTGTGTCCTCCTCATTGCAGGCCGAGAAGTCGAGCCATCCGGACATGTCTCTCGGTGATCCGACTGTTGATCAAGCCCTCGGTGCTTATGAAGCAGCCGTGAGCAGTCTTCAAGGATTGGTGCAGGACCTATTAAAGATATCTAGAGATCGCGACTCATATTGGCAATATAGACTAAACAGAGAGGCACACCTCCGCAAGATGTGGGAAGAGAGTATGGCGCGAGTTGCTCATGAGCACGAGGAGCTGCAATCGAAGATGGGCGAGTCCGAGGAAAAGCGACGCCGAACCAAGCGGGCTCTCAAAGAAGCATTAGAGGGTTCGTCAGCAAAAGCTGGTCGCATGGCCGACCAAGCGTCGTTACACATGAAAGACGTTGATGATGATCTTGACGATACTTCCAAAAAACAAGTCCCCGAGGCCTCGGAGTCGAAGGACGATCCCACAACTGCTCCACCTCTGCGTCGAAAGAAATCGACAGTGTCCCAGCTAAGCAGCCTATATGATTCTGCATCAGACGATGAGGATGAATTCTTTGATGCGATCGATGCCGGGGAGATTGAGGTCGAGAATCTCGCCACCGCAGAAACTAAGGACGAAAAACCAGAACCCGAAGAGAAGACCAGCGAGCTACGTGCCGTGAAACATGCCGAAATTGTTCCTTCGTTCAAGGGCTACGAGGAGCCTGTGAGGACGAAATTGAAAATGGACTACGATAACAGACCCAGGATCTCGTTGTGGGTATGTTGATCCCCCTTCCCTAGTCAGGCGCACGGCATCTAACAACGAATTGTTGCAGGGCATATTGAAATCTATGATTGGCAAGGACATGACCAAAATGACACTACCAGTTTCATTCAATGAGCCGACGTCGTTGCTACAGCGTGTAGCCGAGGATTTGGAATATGCAGATCTTCTCGACATAGCAGCTGACCGATCCGATTCGATGGAACGCTTAGTTCACGTTGCTGCATACGCTGCAAGTGAATACGCTTCAACCATCGGTCGTGTTGCTAAGCCGTTCAACCCCCTTCTGGGAGAAACGTACGAGTATGCGAGACCTGACAAGGGATATCGGTTTTTCGTCGAGCAAGTCAGCCATCACCCGCCGATTGGCGCGGCATGGGCGGAATCAGCAAAGTGGCAATACTATGTAAGAGCCCACTCCCTGTTAACCATTATCTCCATTTGCAGAGTACTGAGAAGTTCCGATAGGGTGAATCTGCTCTCAAATCCAAGTTCTACGGGAAATCCTTTGATATCAACCTGCTCGGCACCTGGTTCCTAAAGTTGCGTCCTGCATCGGGAGGTGAAGAGCTCTATACCTGGAAGAAAGTTACGTCTTCCGTGGTCGGCATCATCACCGGTAACCCCACTGTTGACAATTATGGGTTGATGGAGATCAAGAACTGGACCACCGGCGAGGTTTGCTATTTGGATTTCAAGCCGAGAGGTTGGAAGGCTTCGTCGGCATACCAGGTTACTGGCAAGGTGGTAGACCGTGATGGGCTACCCAGATGGAGCATCGGCGGTCGTTGGAATGACAAGATCTATGCCCGTCACACTCCCGGGTTCGAAGCACAGGTATCGGGCCAGGATCCAGAGTCAGCCAAGACGTTTTTGGTGTGGCAAGCCCATTCCCGCCCGACTGGTGTTCCTTTCAACTTGACCCCATTTGGCATCACACTCAATGCCCTCACCGAAGACTTGGAGAAGTATCTACCACCTACGGACACTCGCCGCAGACCCGACCAGCGTGCAATGGAGGAGGGTGAGTATGACCTAGCGGCCACCGAGAAGCATCGGGTCGAAGAGAAGCAACGAGCGAAGCGAAGAGAGATGGAAATGAAGGGAGAGGAGCATCGGCCCAAGTGGTTTGTTAGGGAGCAATGTCCCGTGACCGGCGAGGAGTACTGGGCTCACAATGGGAAATACTGGGAGTCCAGAGACGCGCAGGACTGGAGTGTCTGTGACGACATCTTTTGAAACACGCAACTTATGTGTTAACCGAAGTAAACGAACCATGCAGTTAGCTGGTCGGCGTGTCTTTCTTACTTTCTCTTCGTCTTTCTTGTACGAACTAATTGTCATTATTATTCTTTTTTTTATTTCCTTTTTGGCAGTTTTTATCACCATGATGCATGGATACTGCACCCGGTTAAATAGCGACTAGCAGATAGGGATTCCACCTCGCCTGTAGCAAGCAATTAAAGACAAGGCTGCTTAAATTCCCCTGAACGTTGTAGATAGTTTGGGGCCTTCCGCTTTCCGCGCTTACCTACAACCCACGGACTAGTGGTACCTGCGGAGTACCTCCCAGGTAAACAGCGCGGCGGAACAGTCCGTTCATCGGCCTTCCGCCATCCCTCTTCACCCCCGCTTGCTCCCCGTACAACTCTCCGTGTATTGAATGATCCTACTGGAAAGCTGGGCTCACCATCATGGTGCGCAAAAGGAGCACGTCTGATGCATCTTCGACTTCCTCTTTTCCGGAGAGAAACCAGGTACAATCATCCCCGCCTTCCCACCCACCGCATGCGATGGAGCTTGGTATCGCCTGGACATACGCACCATTATCCCGTTTGACTTCCCTCTGACAGCAAACCAGGAGCTGGAGAGTATGTATGACTACTTGGCTAAAGTCATTCTCCTTGGGCCAAGCGGCGCCGGAAAGTAAGTAGCTACAAACCGATACCTCCCCACTGGTTGAAAGGTCCGATAACTCATACGAAGTGCTGGCGCACCTTAGATCTTGTGTGTTACATCGATTCGTGAAAAATGAATGTACGGATCCGACCTTCTGCTGAGCCTGTTTTATTCCCGACGGAATAACCGGCTCGCTAATGCAACCGTGCGCCTTATAGGGAGAGTGCTATCGTCACAAACGATCGGGGTCGAGTTTTCGTCGCGAATCATCAAGCTAGGCACGGGCCCACGTCGAACAAGAATCAAATTGCAGCTCTGGGACACGGCGGGGACAGAAAGATTCCGATCGGTGTCCCGTTCCTACTACCGCGGTGCTGCCGGGGCCATCCTGGTCTACGACATCTCCTCGCATGCATCCTTCGCTTCCCTTCCGACCTTTCTGATGGACGCGCGGGCCCTTGCGTCCCCGAGTCTCACCGTCTTACTGGCCGGTAATAAAAGGGACCTCGCGACCGATCCTCTCCCACATGCGGGCTTCGTCGACAACCCTCCCCAAACACCGTCCAGTACTTCCAGCAAACAGTCCTCGTTCCCATTCGATTCGGGTGGCGGAGGAGGTTCGATGCGTTCTACAAGCAATATGGTAACAGGCACAAGGCTAAGCGCCACCCAGGCCCCCGAGGGTCGCCAGGTCATCGGTGATGAAACGTCCCGCTGGGCGGCTAAATCGAACATACCCGTTGCGGTGGAAGTTTCGGCGCTCACGGGAGAAGGCGTTGAGGAGCTGTTCCATAGATTGGCCCGTATAATCCTTACAAAGATTGAACTAGGTGAAATAGACCCAGATGATCCTCAAAGTGGGATACAATATGGCGATGGCGGCCTGTACGGACACGGCACCAGTGATGTTTCGAGCATTCACAGTCGCATGACCGTTGATGAGAGCGCCGTGCATCTGCATCCTAAGAGTGCAAGAAGAAGGGGTGCGAACCACTGGAGAGGTGGTGTACGAGAATGGGAGGACGTGTTTCGACTAGGTGGTTCACATCAGAGGAAAGGTGGCGGATGCTGCTGAATGTTCTGTCTCCGCCTACCCGTGTCCTCCCTCGTCACCCAAGTAGCACACTTCTTTGGCTCTATCTAATTCTTGTTCTAGCGCGAGGTACTTCCGTGTGAGGTACTTCGACCACCTTAGCTGATACCCACAATGTCCTTCTTTTATTATACTGTCTTGTCAAAACAATATTATTTTCAAATTAATTCAGCCTCGTTAATTCTCCAGGACTCTCCGTGGCTATTCTCGTTAGGTTTTCGTTCTAAATTTTTGTTCTGTCATATCAGACCCTTCCATCTAACACTCGTATATCCATTATAGGGGTTTCCAAGAGGGTACCCACTTCCTGACAACCAGCAGAAAACGAATTCTGTGCAGAACCTTGGCCCCACTGGCCAGTCTCAACTGCAGAGCGTTTGAGATCATGGCCCAGCGATTAGCGTCTTGATGCCCTTTCCAGCCTTGACCTCTTTGAAGGCATTCTCAGCATCTTCAAATTTAACCACGCCGGTGATCAGTTCCTTCACGTTGACCTTGCCAGAAGCAACCAAGTCAACCGCAAGTTTGTAGTCGCCACTGCCATAGCGGAAGCTGCCCTTGACGTTCAGCTCCTTGGTGCAAGCCGCCATGATGGGGAATGTGATCTCACTCCGGCCCATACCGCCTTGGACGTACGTTCCACCGGGCCGAACAAGGTGAATACCGGTGTGTATCGAGGGCTCAGCGCCCGAGGCATCGATGACAACATCAGCGCCGGAGCCCAGCTCGTTTTCCTTGATGATCTGGCTCGCATTTTCCTGGGCAGGGGCCCTGCCGGGCTCAAACGTGGCCGTGGCGGCATATTTCCGGGCGAACTCCAGTCTTTGCTTTTGGATGTCCACGGCGATAACCTTCGAGGCACCGTAGGCCTTGGCCACAGTGCAGCACAGCAATCCCACTGGGCCGGCACCGAAAACAACGACGGATTGGCCCGGGGTGATGCTGGCTTGTTTCACGATGTGCACAGCAACGCCCAGGGGTTCCATGGCCGCGCCCTCCTCCAGCGAGATGTTGCTCGGCAGCTTGTAGCAAAAGTCCTCGGGGAGGACGTAGTACTTGGCGAGGGTACCATCGTAAGGCGGGGTGGCGGCGAAGGCCATTCTCTCGCAGAGGTTGTATTTGCCGGCTTTGCAGGGTTCGCACCGACGACAGGGGGTGCCCGGTTCCATCGCAACACGATCTCCCACCTTCAGGCTCGTAACAGCGGATCCAACCTTGCTGATGACGCCCGAGGACTCGTGTCCCAAGACCATAGGCTCCTTCAAGACGAACTGGCCAATGGAGCCGTGCTCCCAATAATGAACCTTGAATTGCGAGGAAACGTCAGTTGTTTGAGGGACGTCAAACGTTAACCGGAAAAGCACCTTACATCACTACCGCAGATGCCCGTAAACTTGACATTCACAATCACGTCATGAGGATCTTTCAATTCTGGGATAGGCCGGTCTTCGAACTTGACCTGATGGACCCCTTCGAGGACAAAGGAGAGGTTCTAGGAAGGCAAAAGACCGTGAGCTTCTTTCTTTGATTGATCTTGTTCATCTAACGTACTTGGGCGTTTGCGCTCATTGTGAGGGCCTTTGAATCGGAGCCTGTGTAGCAATTTGTCCAATGTAAGTTGCTCTTCAATAGAACGAGGATGTGAGCGAGAGAGAAGGAGAGTACGAAGGGGAGGTTAGGGGGGGGGGGGGGGGAAGACGTGAGTCTTATAATGGGTTTCAGGTGGGGAAGGGAGGGAAGAAAAGGAAAAATGGGAGACACTCAGAATGGCTATACGGAGTACAAAATAGGACAAGACTACATGACGGAGATTTGAAGAGGTACTGGCACTGACGGTGTACAGTGTACAGCTCCGTAGGAATGGGCCCGTATTTCCTCCCCACCTTTCATCATGGCGGGGGAAGCAACGAAAGGGAAGGTCGAAGACCGAAGGACGGAATTTAACCGCATTTACCCGGTGTCGGCCCACTGCGTAGGAATACCTACAGAGTACGACGTACTGTAAGATTGGCCCGAGAAGATGACATAATATGCCGCCCAAAAGGGATTAGTCTTCCAGTCTCCGTAGTTCCTCCGTACCTAGCTTACCCATCATTGTAAGCCTTCTCCTCATACATCACCGGAGAGAGCTTCATCCCTCCAGCCTTTGTCATGGTTAGACCGCATTCTCTTCCTGTACGAGGGTCTCTCCGTACACTCCAATTCCAATCCAGGGTTGGCTGCTGCAGAACCCTGCCGCGCTGTCCCTCGGTCCAGTCGAGACATATCCAGGTTTCTTTTCCGCGCAGTGCCAATGAGCGGAATCAGTCGTTCAAAACACAACTATATGAGAGCACACAACAGCGGTTGAAGCGGGAGCGCGCGGAACAGGAGCGTCATGCCCAATACCAAACTCAATCCCAGGGTGGCCGCTATGCCGCATTCTTGTTTGGTAGGTGCCCAGCTCCCCGACCACCTACCGTGCACCTGCGTCTCTAACCATATGCCAATCTCTGAACTACCACAGCTCTGACCTTCTTCTCGACGGGAGCCTACTTCCTTGGAACCCTAAAACCTCCCGCCCTTCCAACATCATCGACAGCGCCCCTACTCGACGTGGAACCTTTGCAACACAATGTCTCTCAATCGAACCTGCAAGCCGCTTGGGCCGACTTTGTTGAAATTCTGGGAAAGGAAAACGTATCGACCGAAAATGGCGACTTGGAAATGCATTCGGGGTCGGACTGGTCTTCATATACGCTGAAGGAAAACGAGAAACCGTTCCTTGTTCTCTATCCCTCAACGACCGAGGAAGTCTCGCGCATCATGAAGGTTTGCCATCAGAGGGTCATTCCGGTAACGCCCTATTCCGGAGGCACCAGCCTGGAGGGCCACTTTGCGCCCACGCGAGGCGGAATATGCATTGATTTTCGCCGCATGGATCGTATCTTGGAAGTCCACGAGAAGGACCTGGATGTGGTGGTGCAGCCAGCGCTGGGATGGGAGGACCTGAACGAGCAGCTCTCAGCAAACGGCTTGTTCTTCCCCCCGGATCCTGGTCCCGGTGCCATGATCGGTGGCATGGTAGGTACAGGTTGCTCGGGAACCAATGCTTACCGATACGGAACCATGCGGGAATGGGTTCTTTCCCTGACTGTTGTGCTTGCGGACGGAACCGTAATCAAGACGAAGCAGCGCCCGCGGAAATCTAGCGCCGGTTACGACCTCACCAGGCTTTTCATCGGGAGCGAGGGAACTCTCGGACTTGTGACCGAGGCTACTCTGAAATTGACTGTCAAGCCCAAAAGCCAGAGCGTTGCGGTTGCCAGTTTCCCGACCATTCACAGCGCAGCAGAGTGTGTCACGCGGGTGGTTGAGGAAGGTATCCCGGTTGCTGGCGTGGAGATATTGGATGATGTTCAGATGAAGTGCATCAACGACAGCCAGGCTACTAGCCGGCGGTGGAAGGAGTCGCCCACGTTGTTTTTCAAGTTCACGGGAACTCCGGTTGGCGTCAAGGAGCAAATAAGCATGGTTCAAAAAATAGTCTCTGGCGCTGCTGGTCGGTCGTTTGAGTTTGCTCGCGGCGAAGAGGAGATGCAAGAATTATGGAGTGCGCGAAAACAGGCTCTCTGGAGTGTAATGTCGATGAGAAGGGGCCCCGAGGACCATGTCTGGACGACGGATGTGGCAGTTCCGATGAGCAAGCTGCCTGACATTGTAGAAACAACCAAGCAAGACATGACTAAAAGCGGGCTGCTGGCCGGCATCTGTGGCCATGTCGGAGATGGCAACTTCCACGGTAAGGTTCCCTCCCTTTTCAACTAATTGCATTGCTAACCTAACTTTACATGTACAGCGATCATTCTCTTCAATGAAAGCGAAAGAAAAAATGCAGAGGCGGTTGTTCACCGAATGGTCAAACGCGCAGTAGAAATGGAGGGAACTGTGACGGGAGAGCATGGAGTTGGCCTCATCAAACGGGACTACCTTGAGCACGAAGTCGGGCAGTCTACTGTGGATACAATGCGGCGGGTAAGTCTTACATGCAGCAGCAAGCGTATAATCTCATCACTGACATACTGGCATCAAATGCAGTTAAAATTGGCCTTCGACCCTCTCTGCCTGCTTAATTGTGATAAGGTTGTTAGAGTAGAGCCTCCGGCCCCGGGTGATGTTAAAGAATGGTGATTTGCACAATTCATGTGAGGCCAGCGCTTGTTGCAGACTACTATTCCGATTAACCTTGAGAGTATCAAATTTTCCCTTCCGTCAGGCTCTTGAAAGCGTGAAACCAAACGATTATTCCGGCCCTGAGCTATTGCCAATATGAAGCACAGTTGATGCAAAACCAACTTCTGATCGCAAAAAAGTCCGTTCCCACTCAATACTCATATCCTCTTGGGTTGGCATCGTAGCGCGGGCGTCCGCCATACCCATACGAACCTTCGACATACTCGCTGTTGCTGTTGGAATAACTGCCACCTTCCCGAGAGTACTCATCATCCCCATACCTTTCGCGGGCATCATGAGTATAACGAGGTGCATATTCTCTTTAAGAAGGTCAATACCAAGAACATATATGCGGAAAGTGTTCACGTCAAGACTGGAGAGGATAATATTCAAACTTACTGAGACTCATAACGTCCACCCTCGCTTTCATATGCCGCATAGCGCGATTCGGTGTAATCACTCGTTTGCACCTCATATCTGGGGTGGCTTTCATATTCGTAACGACGGTCGACGTGCTCGCTACTATAGTCATCGCGTCTCGAGGTAAATGTCTCCTGCGACTCACGATACTGGACATCGGTATATATCGATTGGCTCTGCACGTACTCGCTTCCGCCTGAATAGTCGAAACGTTCCTGAGCTTGTCGTTGGCCGTAACCATAGTCCGCGTGATCCTCGTCTTGCTCCAATCGGCCGTCATCATTATATGAGGGTCGTCGGCGCTCGTCATCGCCCGTCTGAGATCGGTCGGAATTGTTGTTCAATAACAAAGACCCAACACCGCTCACAAGGCCACCAACCAGTCCACCAAGAGAACCGCCACCTGCAGCTTCCGCTGCGAACTTTCCGAATTTGCTGTCATCCGCTTGGGCACTGTCGTTGGAAGTATGGTGTTTCTGGATACTCAGTGGTTTGCCGCATCCATGACCTGAGTCATGAACTCCCTCCCTATGATTCTTCCCCTCGAATACACCGTCCCGAGATAAATGTTCCCGTAACATCTCTTTCTCCTCCTCGCTTTTTCCTTGCCACCACTCTTCGATAGTGCCAAACATGGTTTGACGGACATCAATCGCACCGTCTTCACCGAACTCTCGGAGGGCGGGATGATGAAAAACACCTGATATGATCCTATCCAGCGTTCTGTCAACATCAATGTCTTCATTGTCCCAGCATTCCATGAGCTGAGGCACCACCCATTTGACAACTTGGGAAGCTACTCGGCCCGCAGGCTCATTGAGTAAGTTTGAGAAATGGTCTTTCGAAAGCATCGAGTGCGTCGGGTTGGAAGAGGAGTCATCATCAAACACAATATGCTGCTGCTCCTTGCTGCTTTGAATGACTTCAGACGATCCGGTTTGCAGCTCAACTTTTACCTGCTGGAGAATGGGGAGCACATATGGCGCAATGACCGAAAAGACGAATATCGTTATCTGTTCTTGAATCTGTTCGATCAGCTCCGGTAGAACTGGAATTTTTTCGATCGCACTGTTAATAGATTTGATCAAATTATCGTGCCACTCCAAAATGGGATAAATTTGCTGATGCACATCGTCCAGGTATCGTGTCCACTCTTCGGGTTCGCGGGGAGAAACCCGTTGATTGGTCTCCTTAGCCGATTCCGATCTCGATTTGAATTCGTTCATTTTGTCGGCCTGGCCGTTTGTGTCACCGATCAATCCATCTGGTATCTTCCCGAGCAGCTCCTGTATGAAGCTCTCGGATGGCGTTCCATTCTGCGATTCAGCCATCACGCCTTCCAGAGATTGAACTTCAGACTGCATGGCTTTATCGGATAATTCACCGAGCACGGAATGGAAGAAGTCAACACCACCAAAAGTCCCCGTGATGATGGGATAGACGTAGTCCCGGGCGCCCCGGATTTCTACTTTAGTGTCACGGCCGACGTGGGGGAACACTTCCGATTCGCCTAGTTCGATCAGACTGAGTTCGGCGTAATTTGAATGCGCCGCATAGTCTTCAAGGCAATGAAGCCCAGTTCCGAGAAGACGGAGAGCTTCGTGCAAATCTTCGTCGTTTCTCGAGCTTGCGTACCGACGAGCCAGCCGGATGGATCGTTGAAATACCCGTCGTACTAGGCCTGCAGAGGTTGCAATCCCCAAGTCCTCGGAGGCTATATAATTCTTGAGGCCTACGCTCATCATCGACCGCGTATTAGTTAGCCCTCCAACTTTCCGCGAATGTGGTCGACCTTACGTACCAGTTCTTGGGTCAACGGAAAGTTCACGCTCCTCATCAACTGGGCCTCTCAGTCTGGGATCATAATCCCGGGCATCCTCCCCCTCCGCATAACCAAGAGGGTTATCTATGTGTTCCGTCGGTTCATAACACCCAAGACGCTCTGTTGTCACCTCAAACTCTTTGGTCCCGTAGCTGGTCAAACGTCAGTGTAGATTCAGAGGGCTGATAATTTGTGGGGGGCCTTTACCCGAAACTGAGGAACCCCAATACCCATATCAGAATGCGAATAGCCTCGGTGCTTACATATTTCAGCGTTCCGACATCAACAGCCTGGCTATAGTCACGCAACCAGTTTCCGAAATAGACGCGTTGCACATCAAGCTTGTTGAATTTACGGCCACCAGCAACGCGGGCCAGGAACAAAGTTAGAAGGGCATCTTCAATATCCCCATGGCGCCAATTTTGGCCTTCGATACGGGAAATGGAGGCGATGTTTCCTGCTCCAAAAGCTTGGGTCTTCTGGAAAAGGGCGAAAAGGACGAAAAGAGAGAAGAACGGGATCTTGAACTGGAGATCCATGATACTCTGATTGATGTATGCAGAATTCTCTCAACCCCGTCTAGTACTTGATTCTGGGCGTGAGAGAAGAAGAGATCGAAGGAACGGGGGGAAAGAGTGAAAATATCAGATTCTAAATTCAAAATGCACCGGTCAATGAAAAGGAGGCAAGTGATTGCCCCGCCATGTACTCCATAGACGAAGAGCAACACTGAGCACACGGGAAGAGAGAGAGGAAGGTGGGGGGACGCTGCTAACTACTGGTCTACATAGTAACTACTCCGTACAGACAAGTCAGAGTGGAACGTGATTGCCCAAGTCCATCTTGGCTGCATGAGACAGACGCCAAAATAACTTGGCAAATCGTATCGCTATCGGAGTAATCGTTGAACCCATCAAGACCTTCTGCCCTCAAATAAAGGACAGTCTGATAGGTATGACATATGAATAATCTCCTGTGTATGATATTCATCATTTCAGGTAGGAAAGGCCAAGAAGGGCAGCACCATTCATCTTGCTATTCTTTGCAACGAGTGAGCTCCCACAAGCGATCAACTGATTTTCAGTCACTGTCTCAAGCCAGCGGCTCCAGTCTCCACCCTGATTTTGCCGGTAATCTGTAGATAGTTAGTACTACTGGATAGTGAACTGGAGTAGCAGTGGGCGGTGTAATCCGCTGGAAGGGTGCGTGTGATCATCATCAAGAAGGATTTGTGGAAGTATGGAAAAAAGGAGGGAGTATTCCGTACAGAATACTGGACCAAGGTAGTAATCGGGAACTTGGAGTAGTAAGAAAAAAAGTCTCCCTCCGCATCCGTTGGCCCTTCTTCGGTCTTCCCCTCCTGCACTTCCGGTGGCTTGTTCGAGCCGAGCGGGTCCGTCACTCCGAGCCCATCCTTTGGCGCTTTTCGCTCTTTCTTTTTCCCCAGCCCCCCAGTCTCCGACCATCTCTTTCTATGCCTCTATAGATTTCCGTGTTCTTTCTTTGCCCTACATACGAGAAGGGCGGAAAGGATGCTTGGGGATAGGGCAGATCCTCAGGTCATTCTGGATGCTTTGTACTAGGTCCCGTACTCAGGTCGTCCTTACCTCTCGCCTAGGAATTTAATCTTCAATTTCATGGACGGTCAAGAGTTGATAACATTCATATATACTTGCGCTGTGTTCTGCGGTGTTGTTCCTCAAACTGTGCCCCTATATGCATTGTGTCTGACCTCCCTGTTACGGTTTATCACGACCCACTGCAGTGGAGGATTCGGAATTGCAATTTGTACTTGTCCCATTGTTCAGTGCCGTCATCTAATATGCGTCCCGCAGCTCATTAAGGGAAAGAAGGGAATTCACTTCTTTCAGGGAAGCCGGATAGGGGGAAGGAAGAAAACAAAAGACTCAACTCAATCCCATGGCGCGCTCCCAAAACCGTCTCGCTCGAGACTCACCGCTTCCATCGAGCGCGCAGCGCTTGAAGACCGGAGACCAAGCGTCAAATCATCAATCCGAGCGCAATCCTCATTATACCCATTCGAAGGTCCATGGCTCTGCGGATCTCGCAACACATCCCAGCGATGATAGAGTGGTGCCAGTTCACTCGTCTGGAATTCCTCCTACGTCCAAGGACACACGCTTTCCGCTAAAAGCACCTGACGGATCGAATTCGCCCAAAACCAATGTCCAGGGTTGCGCCCAGAAGGACAAGATCTATAACGACTCATTAGTTCGCGAGGATAGCCTGACTACAAGTCCCAGTCCGCCGTTTGACCTGCTTGGGAACAGAGGAAATGCCGCCAACTCTTCGCCGAAAAATGCTAGTATGGAAAGAGTGCATACAATGCCTGTGAACAGGAAGATGTCTCGAGACCAATCATCATCTGCGTCGTCGACGTTTCCGCGAGCGTCTGTCGATAACGACGGCCCTGCAGCATCCTCGAACGATGATAGGGATGGGCGTCGAAATGATCAACCTATCACTAGGGCAATGACTCAGAATTGCATCCACCATCGATCGACTAGCGGAACTTCCGAATTATCGACGGCAAGTGGTTCCAGCATGAGTAAACCAAACCCACACTATGTTCACCCAATGCGCCAAGCTCCTCGCACATATACGCCGCCTTTAAACCAATCCTACCAGGCATCTATTGCAGAGAGCGATAATTCGGTCAGCGGAGGCCATGTCGAGGAAGAGCCCGTGGCACAATGGGGTTCGGATAGCTTGCATCAATCCATGCGTGGCTCATCGGGACAAACGCCGCGCTTATCATTACAAATCCAAGAGGATCCATTCACAAAACTCCATGGCACCTCGCAAACAAATCTTAGCGGCCGTCAGTCTTTCGGCTATTCCAGAGACGCTGGGAGTCTTCTAGACACAGCTTCTCCAATCTCAAGGTCGTCTCTGGATTTTTCCTTTCGGTCCAGAACGAGGACCAGTATGGATCCTATATCTCGAGCGGCTACGGTGCAGGCGGCGCGCCAAGCATTCGAAGAGAAAGAGGCAGCTAAAGCACGCAAATTAGAGGAACAACAGTTGAAAGCAGAAGCAAGAGAAATCAGGCGGAAGGAAAAGCAGCCCTGGAGGGTTTCTCTAAGGCAGGATGAAGAAGGTTGGCAGAAGGAACGTTCTGAGGTCCACGGTATCCCTGCTCCCTCTCGGTCTGCCTCGCAACCTGAACCGGCAGTGGAAACATGGAAGCCCCAGCCGAAGAACACATGGATGCACTTCTTGACATGGCTGCGAACCCGACTCTTCAAGATAAGAAGAAGAATCAATTGAGTTAAAGCATTCTCATCCAGCTCTGTTTGGCGGCTTTGTGCTGGCGGCAAACATGTCTTGTAGGAGTAGCCAGAGCTAACCATGTAGGTAGGGAATAGCTAATGTAGCTATATACAAGAACATACAATTGGATATAGGTCCTGTCTACATCGGAGCCAGGTTTTGGGAGCGAGGCATTCTTGGATACTAGTATATGTATTGTACTGTAAGTACTGGGAGTGATGTAATTAATACAACTTATTGTAGTGTATTGTATTATACTCTATAGAAACCCTCAGTAGTGTATTGTACAGCACATACTGTACATGGCCAAACTTATCACGTGATAGCACAAGTGGTCTGCGTAGTCGCACCTTCTTATGGGGGCCTCGGCGACCGTACTGCATCATGATTAGCACTGCTAAACTACGGTGCGCAGCAGCGACAACAGGTGCCTTCGCCCGTCACATACTCCCCCAATCATCACCTCCCCCAAGGCAAAGGGGCTTGTACCCAGAGCCGCACCTCCAGCTTGGAGGAGGCGTCTCCAAGCAAATTCCTCATCATGGTTTACGACTGGGAAGGTAAACGGGAGATCTGCTTCCAGATGTATATCAAGGAAAAGAAGGCTTTAGAGGAGATCATGGAATTCATGAGGAATACCTACCAGTTCGCACCAAGGTGAGTGGGCAATCTCAACAACCGTCAACCTTACTATCCTACTCTGTCCGGCGCTTTGGCTTGGAGTTCGTTAACAAAGTCGTGTGGATGGCTTTTTCCAGCAAGCGTGCATTCCAAACGCAGTTCAAACGATGGGGGTTCCCCTCAAAACAAAACCCAGCCCATAAGAACACAAACCTCGTTGCACGTGTCAAACAACTATGGGAGAAGAATACCAGCCAACGAGATATGCTTCGCATACTGAATGAAGAAGGCTATGAGATCAAGGAAAGAGAGCTGATGCGGGTACGCGCCAAGAACCGCTGGCTTTTACGTGTGCCCAATGGAATGAAGTCGCAGAACAGCCTGGTTCAGGTGCCGGAAGATGAAGGCCTACTTGCTCTACATGAAGAAGTTTACAAGACATCAAGCCCATTCGATGATGGCGATACTGTTCCCGATGATGTTCCGAACTCTCACCCTCCTTCCCCGGGTGCGTCCTCCGAGATTCTATTGAAGCGCAAAGAACGACTTGATCGATTGAAGGCAGAAAGTGCTGAACGATGGGCAGCCAAAAAGCGCCGGCGCCGTACCCGTGGCTGGGCCGGGCTGCCTGCCGACCCTCCAGGTCCTCCTCGTTTCCCTTCCGAAACCACTATTGACGAGAGTAAGAAATATCTAGGGTTAGACAGTGCCATGTACCGCCAAATTAGAGATCAGTTTCAAAAGATATGTGAAGAGGCGGGTTTCATAAAGAAAACAGTTGCCGGACCTGAAAGATGGCAAGTGGCAAAGAATAAGTTGATACAGGAATCCGAGCATCTTCAAGTGGTTTTCTGGCAGGACCCGAGTCAACTGGACGCGAAACACCTTGCGCTAGACGTCGTCTGTACGGATGTCACCAAGAGAATGAGAACATTGGAGCGGCGAATGACGATCGCGGAGGCCAAAAACGCGCTAGGAATAAATCCCGAAGAGAGCCGTCAGATACGAAATGCATTCTACAACACCCTCAAAGCGGATCATTTTACAAGCAAACTGGAGGCTGGCGATGAGCACTGGAAAGAGCTGAAAGAACAGTGGGTCCAAAGCTCTGAACTACTACAACGAATTCTCGCCCCCGGCCCAGCGGACTCGGAACATACCACGAGATTGAAGGCTCTCGAGGTCCTTTGCCGAGATGTCATGAAGCGACTTCGCGATGATCAGACTAAAAGAGACTCATCCCGTAAACAGTCTGCGCTTCATCAGCCCCAGACTCACCAGAATGCCGACGACGGGAGTGCGTTTGGTAATGCCATCGCTAATGGAATAAGCACACTTGCTTCCCAAGCCCTGGCCAGCGCTCCAGTTGCTTCAAATGACCTAGGTGATATGCAAATAGACCCCTCACTCCTTCAAGCTGCGAATGATCCCACCTTTGCTGCAACGGGCCAGCATGATTCTGAACACTCTTTTGGTTACGTGGATCCTATGCTGGAGCAGCCCACAATTTTGCACATTCCGGTTTACCTCCGTATTGGTCCCCAGAGTCAACTATACGGAAACTCTAAGACCTGGGTCGAAAAATTGGCGACAAGGTCTGTTGCTGAAATACGACAATTGGTCGGTGCCAAGTATCCAGATGCCATCATCACTAGGATTGAAGGTCTCGATAAGGACGAGGACGGGAATGGCATCCCATTTGTGATTGACGAGGACCACGAACTTGATGCATACTTGACTCACGTTCAGGGCAAAAAGGCATCATTCAACCTTGCTCTAGATCGTGTCTGATCCCTTCGTCACCACCGCCGCCACCAGCAAGTCTTACGGGTTTTAAGCTCGGGGGCGCTAAGTACAGATCTGAGTCGGGTGCAATTGTCAAAATTGCAAAATTCCTGATTAAAACGGGGCTGCGGTGTATACAGACTATAACATCTAATTTATCAGCAATTGCCACGAATGGTTCATGGTAGTACCTGCCGGATAATCCTACAGCAGCGTTTAGAAATTTAAAGCCCATTGGCGTTACCTGAGCAGAGGGGAATCAACATTTTGGAGTTCAATTGACCTGAATTCGATTTTGCGCTTTTCTGTACAATATGGACCCTTCCAAAGATAAAGTCCCCTAACAAATCGCCCCTGGCCCCTCTCGAATACAGGTATAAAAAGGCCCGAAAATCGGGCACATCAAAATACAAATACATAATTGAAGCCCAATACCATCGGTTTCAGACAAAAGGTAAAGCAATTAGCCGGAAAGCGCATGCACAACATCGTGGAAAAGTTTATTGGCGGGGGGCAAAATGAAAGGGGGGACATCTCCAAAGACGGTGGCCAGACTTTTGCTCTGAGCGGTTGATGGATCTAAGCGAGGCAAGGAATCAGACCCATGGGGAAGGGATGTGATACCGGTCCCGCGGAGTTGGCTACCAAACAAACTCGCAAGGCCTGAATGAAGCTGAATAGCCGTATCAGGAGACGACTGGCTGGGATGAGAAATCTTTGTTGTGCTACCAAGCCGTTGTATATTGGCTGCAGAATCCACAATGATATAGTCAACTGAACTTGGGTCTGCAAGCAGGGCCAGAGGGCAATGCCTGAGCGGGGATTGATAAACCAGGGACAAGGAGTGAATATCATAGACCCGAACACGGAACTGAGGTTGCCGTGATTTCTTCACGGAGTGGTTTTCCTGCACATCGGGAGTAGCAACGGCAAATGTCTCAGTCATAGGGCTCACAGCCAGCAAGGGCGAAGCGGTAGCGGAATAGTTGCTTCCGGGCAAAGCAACCACCCTCACTGTATCATCGACAATGTTCCAAATCGACAGAGACTGTTCTGAAGCAATAGCCAGATGACATCCCATGAATCTGGTTACACAGGGCTTACCAGTGTATAAGCCGGTTCTGCTGTAATGGACTTCACAGCTTTGTGCGTCAATGAGAACAGCCAGGCCAGCATCCGACGGGTCGACCGACTGCGCGCAGACAGCAAGCACTGAGCCATCCTGGGAGAAGCTGATGGATGCCGCAGTTGATTGGCCAGGCGCATGGTTCGTGAAATATCCACTCAAGTCGACGCTGCTTCGGCATTTCCACGCCTCCAGGGAGCTGGTATCATTTGCTGCCTTCAACCCGCTACGATACCTGATAGTTGGACACCAAAAGCGCACAACCATATCGAGGCCGATGGTAGCAAATTCATGGCCTCGTGGCCGAGAAGCGAGCTCCAGCACCGGGAGAGGGCCATCTCGTGAAAAATGGGGCCCATCGACGCGCGTCGCCAATTCCCAGATAGCCGAACCGGTATTCCACTTCCAGAACTTCAAGTACGTCTCTCGTAATGTGATACCTGTCGCTTCCTTTTGACCCAGCAGCTCCAAAGCTTCGACGTCCTGTGGGTATGGACACCAATCATCGACAGTAGCCATCCATTTCCCGTCGTGGGAGATACATAGATGATTGACATCCGGGGCAACTATTTGCGACCCTTCAGGGCTAACACTCAAAGTAGTTGCGTTCGTACGTGCAAGAGCTTGCCGAGAGAGGTGGCTGTTCGTGTTGATATCATACGTCTGTAGAACAGAAGAATTCGGCAACGGACGACCACAGTGTGTCAATTGACGAGAGGCTGGGACGGCCAACAGGATCCGATCAGGATACTGAGGGTGTAGCACAGCTGTAGTGGATTGGGGCGCGCAGTAAGTCGGCAGTGGTACTGATCGATCCTGAGGTCTAGACACCTTCGGATATAGTTGCAGACCAATGATGGTGGCAAACGGTTGCAATTCCCTCGCGGATAGCAGCATGATACAATTATCAGCTAACTTGACAACATAAGTGTTTCCAGTCGAAGACACTATGATATTGCAAATTGGAGACGAGAGATGAGGAAGGAAATGTTTTCTTCCTGTTTCGAGCTGCCATAGAACCATAACTGATTCATGACCACCAGAAATGATGTAATTCCCTGGACGAACATTAGCTGGCTGTATGGTATGGATGGTTATTGCACAAGAGATACTTACCATCTCTTGACCACCGAACGGCACTGACAGGTCCTCTATGCCAGTGCAATCGTCTTGGTGCTGAATTCCTTGATAGCTCGGAGTTATTCTCTTCAAATGAACTAATAATATCATGATAGAGCAATATGGAACCGTTTGAGTCTCCCAGTACAAGGTCAACCTCTCCTGCGCGTGGTTTTCCGCCTACGGTGTGTTCCTCGGCTTGGGAAGTGCACCGCAAATCGAGACAGGTTATGTTGACAGGTAACTTTACTTCGCGCCAGGCGTACGAAGGTTCCGACTTCTTGATTTCACCATGAGCCACCCCAAGGAGAACATTCTGGCTGCCATATGCGACAACGACCTGTCCATTGCGCACGACTTCGATCTGACTGATTCGAGCGGCCGTCTGAAGGACGGTTGTTTCACGTGGGTTTTGGTCGCTCAGTGTGGTGATCACTATTTCCTTCTTCCCATCTTTATGCTCCCTCAAGGATGTGAGGCGGAACGCCATATGGTCCTCGGTTCCATGGGTACTCAAGTCAATCGATATTGTTTTGCCCCGAGAGCCCAGGCACGAAGTCTGTTCACCAGAAAGCCAATCCCATCTAGTCACCGAACCGGTTGAAGTAAATATAAACAGATGCTCCTGGTTGGCGGGTGAAAGAGCATATCCAACAATTTGTTGGCAGGATTTCAGCTGCAGTGTACGGTAGAGACGCGACGTAGTAACGGAGTAGACATGAACAGCCGACTCAAGCCCAACAAAAAGATACCTGCAGAAATTACGTTAAAGCATATTCAAACAATAGGGAGCAGAAGCGCTTACTGCTCATCAGAGGTAAGAACCGGATCTATATTGCTGAATTGACCCGCAATAGTATTTGATAAAGTCCAGGTGTCTTGGGGTGTCATTGGTTTATTAACACTGTCGTTAAGAGAAACATGATTGGATTGCGGGAGCAATCTAGCACCTGAATTGTCAGATGTTTGGCGTTTGCCCGGCACAAAAGCCGAGTCAGGATCATTCTTGCTATGAGAGGCACGGCGCCTCTTCGTTCGCCCTTCGTTTAGGTGCATATTCCTCGCTGGGGTTGCATCACTGGCTCGAGATCTCTTCGTTGCTCTGCTGGAATTATCAGGGCTGGTCATCATCTCCACAGGCTAACAAGCTGGCAAATGGAGAAATGACTCTTGTTTCATGTATTATATCGCCGGTATAGCAAGAGGGTGTAATGTGGTAGTCGATCGGCATCTCATCAGTGATTTTTTTTTCTGTACCCAATTAGTTCTCCAGTCTCGAGCCACAGCGCGAGAGAGTGCTAGTCCCTAAGGGGTTAGTGCACTCTGTACATGGCAAGATGTGGGTCTGCGCTCCGTTCAGAAAATCTCTCCGGTGATGGAAACAAAGACTTCATACAGCGATAGCTACCTACCTTCTACCGATACTCCTGTCTCTCTTTGTTCACAGCCAACACTGTCCCTAGAATCCTCAGCCTACTTGGCTCCGAGAGCGATAATCTAAGCGCACCTATAAATCAGCCTCCGAAAGTACGTTCTTTTCATCGAGCGTATATTGGCCTAATCACAAAAGACCACAAAAATGATTATTCCTGTCCGATGTTTTTCATGTGGCAAGGTAAGGCCTCTCCTCATATCCTGTATCATCAAGCAACTTGAATTGCCCATTTTCTGATGCTTCGCTCATCTAGGTTGTTGGTGACCTATGGGAGCGCTATCTCCAGTTACTTGACGAGGGAATTCCGGATGGGTAGGTTGCAGATGTTTGACTAAATTTTGCTCGATATTGGGACTTTGAATGACCATTCTCAAGTGACGCCATGGACCAGCTTGGCTGCAAGCGATACTGCTGCCGCCGGATGATCATGACGCACGTGGATTTGATTGAGAAACTCCTGCGGTAACTATAATCTCCTCTGTGCGCGTATTGTGTCGTACTAATTCGGCCTGCTCAGCTATAATCCGACGGAGAGGGAGAAATCGAAGAATCAGTTATAAGTCCTTTACGCCGCTCTTCACTCATCTGTCCAAGCATGTACTTAGCAGTCGTCAAATCGCTCTGCCAAGTATTCACACAATGTGTCTTATCACCCGTTAATCAATACGCCTGATTAGTTCGATGCCGAAGCGCCTTCCGCTTGCTTTTACGGTTCATTGGAAGCTCAAGTATCGTTGAGGAGGGAAAAGGCCCCTAGCAATCTGTCAACGCAATGGGACCGGCTATCCTACCCTTCTCTCGTCTGGGAAACAAAAGCCAGCAAATAAATGTCAGTTCGACCGATGCTGTTTGAGAAAGTACTGGCCCCAAGGAAAACGCTAGTGAGCAATGAGAAGACAAAAAAGGGGGGAAAGCAACCAGTCCTCTTATTCCGAGTGTCGGCCTATCGTTCATGCTCCTTTTTTTTTATTTTTTTCCCCAATGGGCACATGAGCGCGGGGTTTTGAGGAAGTACATTCATGCTCACAGATGCCCCTTTGCAGGTGGGAGTCCATCGGAGGCCTTTGTTATGCATTGTTTTCCGCATGAATGAAGCAAGAATCAACCAGATACCCATTCCATTGGTAAGGAAACAACGCGTGATGTTAAGAAGTGAAAAAGTACGTTCAAATAATAATAACAACAATCATAATTAAGCCCACTCTGTAGACATCGCGGTATCTCCTAGAGTGGGTTTTTTGTTTTTGAGATAGAGGCACAATTCCACAGCTCGCAATTCCGAACCCCTGTCTATGGCGTATGAAGTGGCTTAGCTAGTTCGGGGCAGAAGGAATTCCAAAGGCGACGGCTAGCCGAGATCATGTGGTATCATCATAATATGCGGGGGTTCGGGAGTTCCATCTCAGGAACGGTGTTGGTGCCTGGGCATTTCACTTAATAAACTTGGTCATCTTTTCGCATCATGTTCCTGTTGGAGAACCAACGCCATCACGAAAGTGATTGATCGGTCAAATTAGTCTCCAGTGTGTCAAGCCAGCACGTCCAATTCCTATTCCCTAGTACGTGTGACAAGTTTGAACTATTTCCACAATGAACTCATAATCTGCTGTAGATAAGCCTTGTGGAATATCCTCCAGTGTGAAAAATGTCCATCTTTGATGATACAGAGCGCAAGGCGGCAAGTGCTGGGAATGGGAATGATGCTGAATCGACCAGTACATCCACAGCCGCCTTGCATGTTGGCTCACTGGCAAATGATACCCGGTCCGAGTTGAAGGTACGCGCGAAGACTCCGCCCAGCCATATAGCAACAGACATACTTAGGCCATAGAAATCTGTATTGACATATGCACATCAAAGATACGAACATCACCATCGATTGATTTCGACTTGAAAGCAAAGTGCGATGATGATGAACCTCCCCAATCTGTGATACATGCCCCTTCGGGTTTCAAGGAATTTGTGAGGGACTGTCCTGAATGTTATTGTGTGATGCTTCCTACTCATGTTGCGAGCCACCCAGAAGTTAGGATTTCCGCGATTCAATGGCCAATCGGTTCCCAAATCAGATGCCACGTCGTCCGCGGATTCTGATATGACGATGATGAAACTGCCTTTGGCGCAATTAGGTACTAGAGGCACGAAGGTTTGTTACGTACCCCTATCAACAAGCTTTTGATGTAAGCTGAAAGTTATCAGAAGTCCTCCTCCAGCCCGATATCACCTCCCCCGCTGTCTACTGCTATTAAGCCCGCGCAGGATTTATCTGAGCGCGGCACCCCTCGAGCGCAGACGATGCAGGACTTTGAATATCTCGACAGTTCTTCACATGCAAACAACCTCGAGGGTAAGTGGCTGCTCCATATATCCTTTTCTTCGGCCTCGGCTTGGTATTGACAGCGAATCAGATATACCAGAAAGATATGATGCTCTTAAGAGGATCAGCCTTGAAGTCGGTACAACGTCCCACGGGCTAAACTGGGATGTGGAGCACGTCCCGGATGGTCAAGCTGAAATCAGAATCTTGAAAGCAGCGCTTGCTGAGTGTTGGTCACTTTGTAACACATTGGCCAGTCTGAGCTATATTCACCAGCATCAGCTAAACTGTAAAGACGACGTGCACGAAGAGGCATGGAAATCATGCTGGGCACTCTGTCGGGAACTCTATAGTTCCCAGTGCAATGACCATGGATGTCAGGTAAACTCAACGCTTGATACCTGTCGAAGCTTCTGTCAAACATTGTTCGATGCTAGAGATTGCGATGATGAATTAGCAGACTCGGTCCTTCGCGTCAGCTTCGAGCTCAATAACCATCTATATAACACACATGATCGGAATCTGCCAGACGCTTTTAGAGAAAGGACTCTAGACTTTTACATTACATTATGCCATCGTCTTATGAAGCAAAGAACTGGAACCAATGACTCCGACTCTCTACTGAGCGCCTGCTGGTCACTCGCGGAGATGCTGTTCAGCATACGACAGGCTCAGAAAGGGGGAAGAGTCTTAGATGAGGAGTTACTCGGCTCTGCCGTACAAGCTTGTTGGGAACTCTGTGATATCTTCCGAGAAGGTTGGTCTCGACGAGGCCTGCGTAATCCTGATCGCGGCACGCCCCGGCCAAGCCAGACGACATACCCCCAGATTGTTCGGACTAGGGAAAAGGGATCTTCTGAGGCTCATCTGAGTGATAAGGCCTCGCAACAGCAAGGGAATCCCGAAACACCTACAACCATCTTCGAGGATACTGCCGCAGCTTCTCCTGATGAGGCGCCACTTCAGAACATCTTTGTTTTAGGACAAGGCCTAGCAACATGGCGATCAAACTCTTCAAGCATTTCCGAACAAACCCAATCCTCTGGGCATTCAACGAACACAATAAAGACTTCCTCCAACGATCTTAGCTTAGAAAGCCTTAGGATACTGATGGCGCAGGCTGCAATCAACTGCGGGTATTTACGTGACGGTCCGCAGGGCCTGCCATCATTCATCAAATCACTTTCTTCAGACGCGTTTGGATCAATGTCTTGGCAATTGTCACTGCTTAAGAATTACAAGAGGGCTGTTGCAACCGATCCTTGGTTTCGAGAGATAGGGCCTCATGCCCGTGCCAGTGCTGCCGACATAGCAAAAGCCGCGCAATCAGCAATGCAGGCCGGACGATTTCCTTGGCTCGGGGATCTTTACCGCTTTGTCTTCGGTTTCCATTTAGAGGAGGCAATCGGCCATAAAGACATCATGCTTGAAGTCTAGTTGTCGATACCCACTTATTTACCTGCCACGCCTGCTATTGTACATACTGTAATTGAACAGCAAATGACTATAAAAGCCTGCTAAGTGATTCTACCACATAACAGTATACGTAGCCTTCCGCCTCCCTACAGCCTTTCACTGGTAAGCAAGCTGGTAGACTCCGTGCCGGTCTTATCACATAACCTACGCTTTAGCTGTTTATGTGCCGAGGGCTCTATCGAACCCCGTAGATACTCGGTCATTGGTCCTTGTGGACACTTGAAGCTACATACCAAGTGTCAGCAACATGGCCTGCGAGTGGTAGTATAACCTAGATCATATAATCCACAAACCTCAAGTTAGTGTGGCTGTCTTCCGGGAAGCTAACAGCGGCCCAGTCCGTGTGGTCTACTGATGTATCATCGGCCTTAATTTGCCAGATTGACCCCAATCAAGTTGAATAATACAATATGGTCTTTATAAGAAATACCTTCTCGCCTGTAACATAATATCAATTGTTGTAATATATTCTAAAAAAAATCTATCTATCTTTCCAATATGAAATCTATATCTACTAAAGTTGTGATCTAATGTTCTTGTTCGTGTTTGGACTGAAACGTTCAATGTGAAAAGATCTATCTTTGAAGTAGGTGGAAAAAACTTTCCTTAGAACTAGTGTTGCGTCTCTTCATTTTCTAATAGATTTCTTCTTACCATCTCCAGCCACAACAACCTTGCGGTATACCAAAACATATTACTGCCGTAGAGATATTCCAAGAACCGTTTAATCACCTGCGGCCGAGACTTCTCCCAGGCAGGTATTGTTGTATGTGGGCGATCGAGCTTGCCTGTTGGGAAATAGCAGCTTGGTTCAATGAGAAGCGCATCTGCTGGTCCCAGTAGTTTCGGAGGTTAGCATCGGAGACCCGTAGTTGATTACAAGCATCCCTTGGGCTCTCGGCCTATTGACGAATCTCAGGATCAGCTGACCGGAGGAGAAGTTAATCAAAGTCCCGTTGGGGTCTAAACGTGGCCCTTCCGCTGTTCCAGTGCGCGGTTTCACATGATACAGAGGTGATGATTCCAAAAAAGCGATGAGACCCTCATTCAGTTTCACATTGCTGGTAGAGAGCATCCGAAGAGTCATATTAGAGACACATGAAGTACAGACCCGATTACTCGACTGGCGGTTTCCGTCAGTAGTCAAGATAAAAAAGGGGGACTTCCACATGGTACTCACTACATAATCTGTGAGATAAACGATATTCTTGAGGGGTACGATTACAGGAGAAAAGAAGACTAAACCTCGAAAGGCGCTAATACACGGATGGTTCATTCAATCTTGTAAAAGGATCACTATAAATAGTAGTTGCTGGTATCAACAATGATGAAGTTTATGTAGGAAAAAAAGTAAACGTCCCGGGAGAGGATTGAACTCTCAACCTCACGATTAACAGTCGTACGCGCTAACCAATTGCGCCACCGAGACGATCTTATATAAGCATGCTCATGCTTTTAGGCCTGATATCCCTAAATGGGTGAAAGCTTGAAATTGCTTTCAGCCTAACATGACTGGATGCCGTATTAAGTCAGACGGTCGTAGGACTCAACGGAGGGTATTGGTGTAGCTGACGGGAATAGGGTCTTTGTAATCCATTCATAGCAAAATAGAAAACTGCAGAGCGATTGCTACTGTGTGCTTTGTTTGGCACTCCTTCCACACCTCTGTTGTAGACGGCGGCCCAGCCTATGGCCTGGGGGTGCTATGGAAACACCTCTGAATCAAGTAGTAAGTACATACTGCACTGGCTCTTTCATCAAGAGTATAGTTCATTGGTGTATTCAATGAGGCTTTTGCTAAGTGGGTGGTGTAAAGGGACATGACATAAAATAGTAGGTGTTTTAGGTATCAGGGGGCTACCAAGCCTTTTGCTAGTATACGACATCATGGATGGCATCTTCAAGGATCCTACCCTACATACGTACAACGGTTATGCAGAGACAGCCATTTTGTTGTCTTTGATCAATATGTACCAAGCAAGATAAACATCCAAGATGGGTCATGTTCTATTGACCACACACCTACCGGACGTTCACGCGGCCAATGAAGTGGACGGCGTCCATCCATCCACCCAATCATGGTCAAAAAGGAGTACTCCTCTCTCCTCCGAAAAAAGCCACCGAGACAGTTCGATACATACATGATATGTTTTATTCCTGGAAGACTTAAACTTTATTAAAAAAAATGGAAAAAGAAAAAAAGAACGTCCCGGGAGAGGATCGAACTCTCAACCTCACGATTAACAGTCGTACGCGCTAACCAATTGCGCCACCGAGACAATTCGATGTGTGGCGCAAGATTTGCTGCTGAATAAAGCAAATGATAATTCAACCCTTACAGAGTACCGAATAGCCTTTAGGCAATATATATATCACACAACTATTGTTGATCCATGCATAAGTAACTAACGTAATCGGACAGCGAACCGCCGCGATACCGAACTGCCGTTTTTCACTGTAAATATCACTATAAAAATTGGAACTCTATCATTTATATAAAATAAAAGATCTCTTTTTAAAGGCTATTTTAGCTATATAAACTGAATATATTTTACATCAAAATAGATAAATTAATTTAAAGATTATTTAGTTTCACAGATAATAAATCTTATATTACAATATTTAATCTTCGAATGCGATAGTTTCTATATTAAAATATAGAAGTATTCTATATTGTAATAAAAGTAAAAAAAGAATATACAAACAATTATCAATTAATCAATTTTTAATTATGTTTTAGAGTTTAAAAAGTCTTATATTAAATTTTTTAAATTTTAATCAAATATTATATAAAATTTATCTCATTAATGATCAATTTCTTTTATCAATATCTTAATTTAAATTATTATTTATTCTATTTTTACAAATCTTATATTATTACATTATACAAATCCAACAAATCCAACTATAACATTTCAAAAATCTATTAATTGATAATATTATTTAATATATTAAACAAAATCTTGAAAAGTGTTTTTGCGATACAATTTAATTATTTAATTAAAATATATAAATTATTTTTATTAAATCATTTCAATAATAAATAAAACAAAAAAACAAACACAACATTTTATATTATAATTAAAATTTATTTAATCAATATAAAAATAAAATAAAAAAATATCAATTGTTTATTTAAATATATTAAATATTTTTATTAACATTTTTTATTCACATTTTTTCTACAATTTATACAAACACAATATGGTAAGAAGAATCCCTGTAAAGGATAGATTCTTATTTGGACAGTTGACTCCCTTAACTAGAAATACCAGATACATTAAAATAATCTTAAATATATTATAATCTAAATATAAAAACAAATACAGATATAATAAAAAATATTTATTGATTAAAAAAAATTATTAATTAAAAAAATTAATTATTTAATCTTTTAAACAATCAATTAATCAAATCATTATATAAAGAAAATGTGTAATTATTAATTTCATTATTTGAATCATTTGATTATATTATTATTAAATTAATTAAATTACAAAAATCTTAAAAATTTCAACATTATTGTTTCAAAAATCTTCAATAACAAATTTATTTTTTCAACAAAATAATCGTTTTCAATTATTAATTAAATAATCATATCCATCTTAACAATTCAATATAAATATAAAATATTTTATTAATTTTTTTAATCACAAATTTCAATCATTTTTAATTATTATATATTTCATAAAGTCTCAAAAACTCTCTGAAATAATTGTAAGATATAATTCTAAAAAGATTAAAATATAACGAAAAAATCAAAATCTTTATTGTTCAACAATAATAAATATAAACAAAACAATAATAATATAGATTTTTTTTATTTTGTATTATCTATATTGTTTTGTTTTTGTCAAAAAAAACCAGAATCGAATCATTTTAATTATAAATAATATTTTAAATCGTATGCGAACGTTCATGTTATATTAATTTAACTCAATTTAATCATTTTTAAATTGTTTCATTTATTTTTTTTTTTAAAAAATGATCTTCACCCGACATAAATTGATATATCTTAAAATAAATGTGTTTATAATTATAGTGATTATAAATCTTTAATATAAAAATTTTATATAATTGATATTGATTATTTTTAGAAAAATATATTTAATAAAAAATCTTTCATTTTTTTTGAACAATATAACAACTAAATTTTTTATAAATGTTTTTTATTGTTATTTTTAAAAAAATTATATCAATGCTAGCCAAAAAATCTAAAAAATAATAATAACAAAATCTTTTTTAAAAAAATGAATTATTATTATTTTTTGATTTTGGATTTTTATCCAAAATTACATTTTTTTGTTTTAAAATTTCTTTAATATGTCGTCAACAATTTTGTCAAATATTATAAAAATGATTTTAATATTCGTTTGATAAATTGCAATAAATTGCTTTTTTATTTATCAGAAAAAAAAACATTAATAATGTTTTGTAAACCAAAAAAATATCTAAAAAACATTTATTTGTGTTTTTGTTTTTGAATAAAACATAATTTCTTTTCAATTTTTTTAAATAAAAATTAAAATTGTTTTGATACAACTTCTCTATCGTTAAAAAATAAAATTTTTGATCTTGTTTAAAATGTTTAAAAAAGTTGTAAATTGAAACAACATTAAAAAATATAAATTTAATTTAATAAAAGATTTAAATATTTTTTTGTTCAAAAAAACTTTTTTTATAAAAAACCTTAATTCTTTTATAATATTATCTTTTTTATTCAATTTTTGAACTGCCTTCACAAGATCTAAAATAATATTATAAATATTTAAAAATATGTTTAAAAAAATCTAAGACTTTATACATATATAAACATAATTTCATTGTTTGCACATATTGCAAAAAAAATTTGGTTTTTTTATTATTTTTGACAAAGAAACTAAATGTTATTTCAAATGTTAAATAAAAAAAATTTAAAAAGATTTGCAAAAATTTTTTATATATTCATAAATTATAAAAAT